TGTTTTTTTCATCAACCAGCTCCTCTAATGGCTTCACAATGGCATGGTAAGAAGGTACGGCCGCAAGGATGGCTGAGAACCTCTCGACATGGGAATCCAAGACCACTCTGTGGGTTACGCTATCATAAATGTCATTGCTCCATACCTGCGAAAGTTATAAAACATTCTCACTCCTAGAACGAGATGTAATTGACAATAAATAAGCAAACTAGATCTCCTGTCATGCACAATCACTCAAAGTTCAGGAGATGTTTTTGTCATAGAAGAATGGATTTTTATGGAGGCCTATAAAAGTTAATTTTAGAGAGAGAAAACATAAAAAGGAAGTGTAGAGAAGTTGCCAGAGGTACAGATTTGGCGCTTTTTTTTTTTTGCATAAATTCTAGCACCATTGTTCTTTTGTATTAGGCTGGATTTCATTGGCATTTCTTTGTGGCAACGATGATGGTTGACGGTGACGAAGAAGAGTCGATTAATGGTGGTATTGAGGTAAGAAAAATCTATTTGAGTTTTATTTGTAGATAATTTCTATAGATGTCACTAACTTTTAAATTTTTCCCTTTTATTGTCCTTGTTTTTTTGATGTAACTCATTTTCGGTGCAATCTATTTTTACTTGTGTGTGTGGTCTATGTTATTTGTGATGTGGTTTAGTGATTTCCTATTTTAGCAGTTTTTCTTAGTTCCATATTTTTTTTTCAAATGTATTATACATATTATTTCGGTTATCCCCATTGGCCAACATCCTCTATAGGCCGTAGCGTCTTTTTTTTTAATCTCTGTCTCATTCCTTTCTTTCCTTCCTCCAGACCCTTGCGGTCTTATGTTTTTGACCTCTCTCTCACTCCCCATATAACCATTCCCTCATAATTTTTACCTCCTCTCTCTCTCCTTCGACTATTAAATTTGACGTCTTTCTCTTATTCTCTATGAGTAAATGATAAGTTGTTGCTAAAAGATTTCATGCTCATGTAGGAGCATATTTTTTATTTACTCCCTTGTGTTAAACTCAATTTAGGAGCACTTTTAGAAATCCAAATTTTAGAATTTAAATCTTGTAGACTAGCCTCAATAAAAAAAATTCCAAATCATACTCTTGATGGGCTTGAAAAACATGTAATGTCTCAAAATAGAATAGAAACTGGCCAATTTTTGGGGGCGATATCAAGTTTGCTATAAAACTCGAAATTAATATTTTTTATTTTGAAACAATTATCTATTAATTATTAGGTGGTTCTCAAAATTTCAGATCATTAAAAAAAAATGTCCAAAGTAGGTCTTCTGTCTGATGGAGAAAGTATATAATATATGCTCATGTGGGAGCATAATATATGCCCAAATAATTTGTTTTTTTTGGGTGAGTAAAAAAGCATTCGTGCAACTTTTTTATCCAAATAATTTGTTGAGGAAAATCTTTTAAGTTGATCATCTCGACTTTGAGCATCAGAAAACTTTTAAGTTGATCATCTCGACCTTGAGCATCAGAAAACTTTTAAGTTGATCATCTCGACCTTGAGCATTATGGTCTCATAAATACCAGCAAGATTGGTATCATTTCTAAGCTACAATTGTCATAATCAGTAGTGAAATTTTATCTTAGAGCCATGATAGAGATTTCTCATGTCAAAAGTGTGTTCTGAACAATATTTTGAAATAAAGTTTTTCTTTTTTTATAATTTTTTTTGTAACGCCTAAGCCTAATAGAAAACCGCATCATCCATTTGTTAATGCATACCTGAACGACATCACCGCCAACAATGATGTAGGAGTTGGGTATGGGCCTAAGCCTTAGCCACTGACTGTCCGATCTTCGTTGAACCTCGAATCCACTGACCTCATCAGTGGTTAAAAGGGTGAATGCAGTTGGATCTCTGTGAGGTCCTTTGCCCAAAGCCAGCTCTGGGATACTGCACGGTGCGTAGTGATTAGTGCGAACATAGCAAGTGCTCTTTTCGAAATAGCGGTGCAGTCGGTCAGATGGGAGACCCAAGCTAAGAGAAATGAGCTCCATCAATTGATACAACAACTTTAAGGTCCCTTGGGCGAAGTCCTGGCATATTTGCCTGTGGGAGAGGGAGAATTACAGGGATTAGAGAGAAAATGTGCTTAATTACATTAAAGAAAGTGTGATAGAGAGGATGAGCATAACAATAAGAGAGAGACAGAGTCCATTACTTGTAATCCTCTGGCTTTTCCGGCCACAAGTTCCTAATAATCTTGGTCTCCTTACAGTCTGGCTCCATGTTTTCCGGTATCTCGAGCTCCTCTGTTTCTGCCATAAAATCGAAGACTTCGACCCAATCTCTAACATTCTTGGTGTGGTCTTTATCATTGTAACCCCAAGGGTTGCTTATATCTCTACCCACCTTCTTCTTCTCCTCATATGGCAAAGCTGAGAAACCAGCCATTGCCTTCTTCAGATTCGACCAGAGATCAGGCGACACACCATGGTTAATTACCACAAAGAAGGCCCACTCTTTCATGGCATTGTGCACTTGTTTGGCTATACTAGCCATGGCTTCCTCCTTGGAGGAATTTTGATCTGAAAATGCCAATTGAAGTGGAGCTAGGTCGATTATTGGGGCATTTTCTAAGTATATGATTGAACCTATGGATGGACGAGCCTCTACGGGTTGAATTAGAGCTGCATCAATGGAGGGCGCCATTTTTTCTCGATGCTTTCTAACTCTATTCACTCTATGATGCTTGACGCTTGGTCTCTTATTCATGGCGAGCCCTGCTCACCTCTTTATTGGCCCTCGGGCTCTTTTATTTTTTATTTTTTATTTCTTGGAAGTGTAACACGTGGTGATGGTGCACCATAAAAAATTGTGGGACCGGCACCAATACAGCAATGGCCAATCCCTAGCCCTCGCTATGTCGGGGTTGCGCCGGATACCGCCGGGCTTAATATATCCAAAGTGAAAAAAAGAGAAACAATAAGAAGAAAGAAGGTTCACACCTGGCCTTGTTTGGCCCTTGGGCCGATGCATCCTGCCCCTCGGGCCATATTTTGTGGCTTAGGCCTAGGATTTTTTAAGGTCGGGCCTGCCATCTGACCCATTTATCCTACCAATATAGGTACTTTGTCTCGTATTGGTTTTAGGTGCAGTATTGGGGCCACACCTCATACAAACCTGATATATGCATACAACCATCTATATATAAATTTAGTAACAATATCATCATCATTATCAGAGCATTTTTCTAGTTAATTGGGATTAGCTATATGAATTATGGTTCACTATTCTATTCTATTAAGGGTCATACGCTCACTAAGGATATAAGTCCTCATATATTTTCTCACTACTTCCAACCATATTTATATGTTTCTATTAGTATGCGGTGTTCACATGAAACTCCTGCTGCACATCTTCACTTTGCCCATTCAGCTCACTCTATTGTTTTGGATTATCGATTCAAGATATTTAAAGTGTGTTTTTTTTTTTGTATTCTTTAGCCGTTAATCTTAACTGTTTCTTCATCTCTATTCTATTGGTATGCGGTGATCACATAAAAGAGACCTAACCAGCGATTTAAAATATAGAATTGGGGTTCAACTTAATCGTATTAAGCCTACATTCGATCTTTTAATTCTGATTCATATTGCCTGATTCAGATTGCGGATAATAAAGAAATTTCAGGAAAATAGAAAATCAAGGGAACCCGTGCACATTATGGATTTTTCGAGTTAGAATTGCCCATGCCCCAATCCAGATTCGACATGAACGACTCACAATTAGATTGGAAATTTTCCCACACTGGTCCCTCAAAATAAATTCCCTGCCCTTGAAACAGGTGGCCAGTCAAACACGGGGCGGCTTCCTAGTAAAGGTCCAAATTGGGATACAAAGCATGTATCCATTTCTTTTCGGTGTGGAATATAAAATGGTGAGATGGTTATAATAGGAAAAGTTTATACCGAGGTGAGGCTCCAAACAATCAAATTTGACTCTATCTCAAAAATTTCACTAGAAGAGATTGTTTTGATGTCCAAATATTTTCAAATTGATCATCTTGGCATGAAGATGTATAGACATGAGAAAAAGGAGATTTCAAGTTTTGAAAATAATGTATTTTGTAACGTATTTTTGGACCATCAATTTTCAAGATTTTTAAGTTTTTTTAGATTTGTTGATCTACACTATTTTTGAAGCTTTAAACTTTTATAAATAAATATGAAAATATATTTTAAGGCTATTACAAAGATTTTTAATATTAAAACCACATTTCTCAGATACTATTAGAAGGTGGCTCTAATTTGATTGTTTAGAGCCTAGGCTCTATACAAATAGCATCCGGTTATAACATTGTGCAGTCACTCACTAACAACTAAATACAATAAAATTAAGAATTGGCCTCGAAGTCAGAACGGCCAAAAGAATTTGACATCTTGAATTCTATTTCTACGGCGTCGTGTCCCACTCATTCGTTGTACTTGAAATTGTTGAGATTCCTGCAAAAAGTGGACAATTTAAAGTAATAAAAAATGTTAAGTTTAGCTTTTTGGTGGGGTTTTAACCACACTCTTTGCTCAAGGAAAATAGGGGTGGAGTTTCTATAAGGTTGTAACCTTAAACCATCGAATGAAGTTGCACTTTAAAATTTTATTATAACATGTAAGTTTTTATAAAAATATTATTAGTATTATTTTAAGATCTATTTTCATACCTAAGTAAAAAATTTTAAATTTTACAAATGGTTAAAATCAAGTAGATCTATAAATATATGAAAAACTTGAAAATGGACAATCTAGATAATGTGTTACAAGATGTACTATTTTCGAGGCTCAAAAACTTTTTTTTTTGGTACTAAAAAGATTTTTCGACATTAAAACAACATTTCCGATAAAATTTTGAGGTGCATATATGAGTCTACATTTTAAAGTTGCAACCTTATATAAACTTTTCCCATATAATAGTGAAATGTTATGTTGAAAAAAGAACGTTGGGAGAGAAGTGAAAAAGCCTCCTCCTCGTGAAAATTAGTCATGACCTAAGTTGCACCTCGTGAATATTAGACATGTGTATAGGGATATGACCGGGCCACTGTAGCAAACCACGACTTAGAGACGGAACTCCGCCATGGGTTCGAGTCGAGGGTATGCCCGAGTCAAAAAGTGCTAAAAAATAAAAATAAAAAACACAAAAATCTTAAAATATATGAAGATACGTTTAAAATAAACTTAAGAAAAATACACCAGAATGAGGTTAAAAAGTACAGAAAGAAAATCAATTTTTGACATTGAGGTTTTCAAAAATAATCCAAAAAGAAAAAAAAATGTCAAAATAAGCACTCATGGCCAAAACACTTTTCGATGTTTGCCAATATGGATGATGTCACACCCCATGTTGATGATGTTATACCCACCTAATGACTAAAAATACCCTTGTTAAAAAAATACTACATGTACAAAACAAAAATATAGAAGTGTCCAAAATTGTTGAGTACAATGATAAATTACTCCATAGTATGAGCACCCAAACATAACCCAAAATTATAATATTAACTGCAATATTTAATATTGTGTTTTGTTAAATTCGTCTAATATAAAAAAATAACTTTCAATAAATGTAAGTAATTTTCTATTAAAAACGTAATTAATATATGTATTGTATTAATTAAGAACTTAACATTCATTCATATAAGAGAAGAAGGGATTAGTAGAGGGAGGGTTAGAGGAAGGGACATGTAGTGGAGATAGATGAGAGAGATATGCTAGGAGGAGAGAATGTAATGAGAGCTTTAAATAATTGTAGACAGACAGAAAGATAGTTATAGAAAGTTGAGCGATAATAGTGGATAATTGAGATGATATTAAGAGTAGTTAATATGTGTGTCTGTGTATGTGAGAGAGAGACTAATAGCAATTAGTAGAATAAATTTGGAAACAAAATGGCTTCATTTTTCCATTGATTTACTAAAATAAATAAATAAATAAAAGGTTAGAATAAAAAAGGATTAAGAAATCGTAGGACCTCATATGATTGTCATTATTAAATGTATAACATATTAAAAAATTGATTAAAAATTTAATAATTAACTAATAATACTCTATAATTATCATAATTTTAATAACAAAATTATTAATATATAAACAAATTTATAATTTGACAATATGTATTTTAATTCTATAATTAATTGTGACATTAACTATTAATATTTTATTTATTCAATTTGTATAATATAAGAAGATAACTTTCAATAAGGGTAAGTAGTTTTTACGGTAAGAATATAATTAATACATGTATTGTATTAATTAAGAGCTTAATATTCATGCATGTGAGAAAAAAGAATATTAGAGGGAGAGGATGAAAACGAGTCACGTAGTGGAGATGGGACGGAGAGAAATGTCAGTTTTCGGAAAAAAAAAACACATGTCAACAAAATAAATGGGGACTTTCAGTTGCTCAATATATAAAATAGAAAAGGATAATAGATAGTGGTGCATAGTTGGATGAGAGTGAAATAAGAGTGAGAAAGAGAGTGAGCAATGCGAAGTGGCAAACGAGGATTTGTTCACTTCAAATTAAAGGCTTTGCAATGTCAATGATAAGATCTTGCGATGTTTGAGCACAGGCAAATTTTTAAAATATGCATGTAGCCGCCGCCCCCCCCCCCCAACTTGCGATGTTT